AATACCTTGAATAGTTTCTTTGAAACTGAGCTAAACGCAATGTGTGACGGAAGGACAGACAGAAGGACGGAATGACGGAGGGACAGAAAGACGGAAGGATGGAGGGACGGAAGACAAAGATGACAAACACTATATGCCCCAGTCATATTTATGGAAAAGCATTAAAATCACTTTTCTGGCAAACTTTCTCCACTCTCACTGTCTGAATCATCAATGATTGGAGGAATATTGCTGCATCCAAGACACTTCTGCTCCAATCCCGCACTCCAAATGATTTCTCTCTGTACCTTGCACCACTAAGATACCATATGACTGCTGCAATATGCGAGCACATCCCAACCACTCTAGATCCTGTTCTATATGTACACTACCAAGATTCTACTGTAAGGAATCCAGAGTTGGTACTTCTTAGATGTATGCCTACTCTGGATCTTTGCTCTGAGCAGTGTATTGTCCTCTTCATAGAAATAAATATCGCTTTCACCATCCATGTGCTCTTTCATATAACTTGAGGATAATTTCAATTGGTAAGTACCACAAGTCGAATTTCTGAGTTCTTCGTCATCGAGTATAGGAAATGAATCCAAATCTACTTCAGAGGGCGGTTTCCATACAGCTGTTTTTCTTTGCAATTCCTTCTCCTCAATAAAGGCCCTCAAGTAGTTAATTATAATTTACCTGATTTAAAATCAATTTCAATAACATTTCACAAAGTTCTAGAACATTTTTCAGTTGGAGTAAATAAATGATAAACATTTGTTGTAAATTCTGCACATGTTGAAATATACAGTGACAATAATCAACACTATTTCTCTTTGAAAAAAATAAGAGTTCTTACTTGCTTGGATAGGTGAAGCATTTTAGCAGCTTCTGCATCATCCTCTTCTCTGCTGCTCGACAGACTCAGTGGAAGTGAAAATCTGTTTGATGCTGCGCAAACAATCCGTATATAGTCTCCAATGAATGGAATTTGTTGGGTTGGTAGTGTACGGTCCAGATATCTCCATCTCTTGATACGGGCATTAGATGACTGTACCACCCATCTGACCTGGCACATCATGAAAATAAATATCGTTGCTTCTAGCATCTTCCAGACATAGAGTTAGATAACTGTAAATGCACTGGTATGCTATGTTTAAGAATGTAGTAAATAGACTATCTATTAGTGCAAGTATGAATGTCTGCAAATACATTTTTAGATATGTAGTTAAGTAGAGTTAAACTTCGGTATCTCGAACACTGATATCTCGAATACCATGGATATGTCGAAGTGATTTGGAAGTCCTAAACGCTTATTCCTTAAGTATTTTACTCTGGATATTTTGAATCCTCAGATATATTGAATTATTTTCTCGGTTTCATCGAGTTTGAGATAAAGAGGTTTGACTGTACATGTATATAAATATCAAATATCTATAAATATAATTCCCATTGTTATTTGTCACTAGTCGACTCATATTGGCATCTTCAGTCGACATCTGCTTTTGACCAGCCTCTAAAAACATTGGTATCTCGGCCTGGATCCCCAAATCTACCTAGCTAAGGTAGAGCATCTCTGAAGCCCCTGTTTACAATGAATATGTCATCCTCATTAAGCCAGGAGAGAATACTTTCAGCGTTACTGTTGATGATGTGTGTAAAGATGGAAGCATCATCATTCTTTCTATCAGCTAAATAAGGGCCCAAAATGGAGACAAAATATCCTGTTGTTGAGATAACTACCTTTGGTTTAATGAGGGGTCTCCCTTTGTGCATAGTGAATGATCTTCGCTGGAAATGGAAATTATTACTTTTGTTCACGTAGATATAAATTCCATCCAATACTAAGATGACTTGGCTTTTTTCTACACTTCCAAATAAAGTTTGAGGAAGGGGTCTGGTGTGGTTACTGGTGATTTCAACTCTTGAAAAGTGACCAAAACCGAGATATTTCGGAACAAATGTAGTCAACAATGCTTTTCTGACTGCAGAGATGGCTCTCCTTAAGCTGGATTTGGATGTGCGGAATAAGGTTGATAGTATCAAATTTGATAGTCCAGTTTTCATTTTGCAAAAAAAGATTGCAACAGAAGTAATCAAGCTTCTTGCAGGTGTATTCTTAACAAAACCCTGCACAGAGTCTAATACTTCTTGAAAATTTTCCTTGTTGATTCCTAATAATGACTTGTTGTCAGAGTCTGTCAGATTTTTCGGATCATCAAAGTCCAAAAACTGTTTTCCATTTTTCTGACATAATATGCGCATTTGCTGTAATAGTTCTGAAATGGTTGTTTTATTTAAGAAGGCATTTTCAGTTGTTTTAAGTTGTTGGACAGCATCACTTGTGAACAATCCATTTCTACTATCTAAAAGCACAGGACAACACCTGTTCCCTGGGGGAATTAGAATATTCTTCTAATCAAAAACATTTGTGCGACTTTCAGTTGGAACCACCACTAACTTTGGACCAGGTTTTTTGCAGATACAACAATAAGCATGGGTTTTTGCTGTAGAAGCCAAAGTCAGAGACACAGATGGTGGACTAGACAAATTATTTTTTTACTGTTAGAGTCATCAGAGGTTGACGCTGATGCAGAGTGAACAGGGGCGTACACATTTGTTTTCCTAGTTACAGTTCTGTAAACATGACGGCATTTGTTGCATATTATAGACTTGTCAGGAGCCTCGATTAGGAACTTGCGTCGGAGATACTTCTTTATATTTTTATTAGGTCACCGGAGTGTACTCAGGAGACCTATTGCTATCCGTTTTCGTCCGTTGGCGTGCGTCATGCGTTAACATTTGATCATTTTCAGCTTCTTCTCTGAAACCGCTGAACCAATTTCAATCAATTTTGGCATATAGCATCTATGGCTAAAGGGGGATAAAATTTGTGAATTTCATGGTCCCTGGGGCCTGAGGGATGGGGCCAAAACCACTAAAATTAATGCCATCTTTAAAATTCTTCTTCTTTTCTCCTGAACATCAAGCAGTCAAACTGTTGGCATGATTGTAATAAGCATTGAGCCCTCTATTAAAATTGTGAAGTTCATGGCCCCATCAGTGTCATATTTTAAAAAAAAGATGACCAAAAAGAGCTTTCAAATGAAAAAAAAAATGTATAGAACATTAATTGGGAAGGGGAGTCTGTCCCAACATGCATGTACAATAAAGTTACGTCTAGTATTTTCTTCCCTTATTTATTTAGATTTACTGTAAACGTGAACATTTTGACGACGTGCTAATTTTGACTATATTGACGATTTTTCTTTTCTCGTCAAAATTTCCACTCGTCAAACTTCACATCATTTATTTAGCGTCACAACAGACATTGACCGTTGTACAACTGTCTCGGCTTTACCCCATTAAAACTAGATCAAAGTTAATGTTGATTTATTTATTCATTTTTTGCAAATAGTTATGAAAACATATAATTACAGTTTTAAAAACCATTGAATCTAAACAAGTATGTCATATACTATTATTCACGCTCACAACATTCTAACTTTGCGTAATTATCACGCCGTGCTTGACCTACTTTGTCACCTCAGGAAATTGGTCTCTTATGATGAAAACAAAACACAAAAGAACAATTAATTCAATCAAATCTTATACAATGTAGATTGTTTTTACAAGCAAAATTAAATTTTATTGATGCCAAAGCTTGTTAATGAGCTCACAAGGAAGTCGCGATCTTTGCTTAAAACATATCGTGAATTTTCAGGACCCATAACGCATGGAGGCTTAATCGTAGACGTTCTCAAGTTTATGTCAACTAAACCAATGTTTTCACCAGGTTTTTGGTCCCCTAGTTTCTGGCGAACTTTCTCTGAGTACCAGTTTTGAAACACTTTTTTTGAGGAATTTTTGTATTCATTTTTAACGTTTTGAAATCAACGATACATAACTCTTGATTCAATATTTAGTCAAAATTAACATTCGTCAATTTTCGTACACAAAAAATCGTCAGTTTTTCAACTCGTCAAAATAACCACGTTTACAGTATAACAACTGACAAAAAATCTTTAAAACACTCGTTGTGGCAATATGCACATACATGCACAGAAAACATACATGCGCATACTCTGTAAAACAGGACGCTTCTTCTTAGCTATCATGAAATTTTATAAAATTTCACATTTTCTGGCTGATCCCACAGGACTGGACTCGTGAGGATCTACAAGGTCTACTAAATTTTCATTTCCTACACTCCATCGTCATGGGAATTAATGGATTTACCAATATTAGTTTTTTCCACAGCTAAGTTAATGCTGACAATAGAATATTATCTACTTCCGGTTAAGCAATAAATGTAAACAATGAAAAATCTTCTGCTTGCATTAAGCTTCATGACTTTTGTGGTAAGTAAAACAATGTATTGTATGTAAAACATGACCAAACACCTACGTGTCTAGGGAATTTTCCTTCTCCCTCCAACAGCCCAATTATATCTGTGCGAACACCTGCATTTACTACTGGCATATGAACACATCCCAATAGAGGAAATTCCAGCCACGTGTGGTTTTCGGCAATTCAAACTTTCTGTCTATCTTTTTAATTATAGGCGGTGTAGAAACAAACCCTGGCCTCTCCATCTCAAGTTATAGTTGTCCCATGTGACTGGGGACAAAGAGCCATTGCATGTAATAAATGCAGTTATTGGTACCATGCATCATGTACGTGGGTGGTCTCTGAGGAATATTTATTTCTATCCAACAAGTCTGTCTCATGGTACTGTGTAGTTTGCAATGCCCCAAATCACTCAACTGTATTGTTCGACTTAATTGACTCTGGTGATAGTAATACCTTTTCAGTCTTGTCATCACGAGATACTATTAATGTAGACCCAATCTATAGCAGTTTATCAGATACCAGCATTGGGGATTTTATGACATCGTCATTACCCACCAACCATCATTAAGCAGCCAAAACAACAGCAACGAGGAAAGGAGCGGCAGAATTTTCGAATTCTCGTTACCAACTTTCAGAATATTAAAAATAAACGCAATGATCTCCAAGTCATGACTGAATCAACAAAGCCCGATGTTATCCTTGGGATCGAGACCTGGCTGAGTGATATGATATGTACATCCGAAATATTCCATCCTGAACTTGGATATGATGTGATACGTAGGGACCGCGATGGGGATGCACATGGTGGTGTTCTTATAGCAGCTACAACTGAATTCGGTCTGAATCACCTTCACATATATACCAAGGACTCGGAACTCATAGCGAGTAGCATCAACATAAGCCCCCGAAAGAAAGTGATATTGTCATGCCTTTACCGTCCATCAAATAGGTAAGATCAGCAGACAACAGATAAAACTATATATGATATAAGTGATCTGCGTTCTCGACATAAGAACAACATTTTCATTCTAGGAGATGATTTCATTTTATCAGATATCAACCGGGATAACTATGCCATCAATGGTTCACAAACATCAAGAGAGATAAACAACGCTTTCATGCAGATGACTGACAACCTAAACCTGCAGCAAGTAGTTGATATCCCGACTAGAGGAGAGAAAATCTTGGATCTACTTCTAACATCTCATCCTGGACAACTTAGTCGATGCAAGACTAACCCACCACTCGGAAACAGCGCTCATGATGTAGTACTCATAGATTTTACGATACACATAACTCGACCGAGACTAAAGAGGAGAACTATATATTTGTGGAAGAAAGCCAATATCAACGGCATCAGAGACGACGACCTAATAATTTTTGTAGATACCTTCAAGCATACCAACTTTGAAGATGTAAACAGCATGTGAGGATATATTAAATATCTCATATTAGGAGCCGTAAAACATCATGTACCATCTCGTCGCACACTGGCTAAACATATCCACCCATGGATTACCTCTGTGCTGAGACTCCTTAGCAACAGGAAACAGAAAGCCTATAAACGTGCTAAGCGCAGCAAGGACCCAAAAGTTGTGAAGCGATATAAGGCACTCAAAGGGCAATTACATAGGGAATCCAGGGGAGCACACAGAGCTTACTTGGAAGATGTTTTCAGCGATGACCTGCGTACCAATCCGAAACGTTTTTGGACATTTATAAAAGACAGGAAGCAGGATTCATCCCAAATAGAGACTTCGAAGTCCAATGACGGATTCCTCCACAGCGACACTGCCAGCAAAGTTTTTAATGAGCAGTTTCAGTCTGTATATACCCGGGAAGATCTAAGTACTCTACCTGATCTAGGACCAAGCTCTTTCCCTACTATGGACAAAATAACCATTCATGAGATGGGAAAATTGAAATTACTAAAGGGACTGCGCCCATTCAATATATATTCCTATATACAAGAAAGGGGAGAAACATCAACCATCAAAATACAGGTCTGTCTCCCTTACATCAATAGCCTGCAAGCTCCTGGAACATGTTGTACACAGCACAGTTTAGGACCACTTCATCGGAACAACATCCTCTGTGATGAACAACATGACTTTCGTGCCCGCCGATCATGTGAGACACAACTTGTCATAACGCTGGACCATATAGCCAGGAATTCGACCAGGGGCACCAGACAGACATTATACTATTGGACTTTTCAAAGGCTTTTGATAAAGTCCCTCACCAACGTCTTCTACTGAAGTTGGAGCACAGCGGAGTGTCAGTTACCACCCTGGGTTGGATTAAGGACTTCCTAAGTTGTAGAACCCAATCAGTGGTTCTGGATGGACATGCATCTTCACTTCTAGATGTCCTGTCGGGAGTACTACAAGGAACTGTCCTGGGACCGCTCCTATTCCTGTTCTACATTAATGACTTACCGGAGTGCACCAATTCAGACGCCAGACTGTTTGCAGACGGTTGCCTCGTCTATCGTCAAATCCGAAATACGATGCAGTCAAGTTACAGGAATATCTCACTGCCTTAGAAGGATGAGAAAAATGTGGCAGATGTGTTTCCACCCCGAAAAGTGCACGCTTATTAGGATCTTCAACAAACGACAGCCACTGCAAATATCATACACTTTGCATGGACATCAGCTGGAAGTGGTGGGGAATGGGAAGTATCTTGGTGTTAACATCTCCCAAGACCTACAATGGACCCTACAAGAACCTTGGGCTTCCTGAGACGAAACCTGAGCCAATATACACCATCAGTAAATGCAACAGCGTACTGTACTATAATCAGACCATCGATCGAATATGCGTCATCAGTGTGGGATCCTTATCAGGTCAACTTAACGAAGGATTTGGAGCAGGTACAGCGTAGAGCAGCCAGGTTCATCTTCAACCAGTACTCGGACACCTTATATACTAATATATCTTTTCCTGGTGGATTTCGAATAAAGAACAAACCTCATTCATTTCGCAGTACAGTTAAGGTGCCAAATGGAAATATTGGCGATTTTTTTAGACAGAAAATACATTCTTTACAAGGATGGGAGATTCTTTTTAGACCTTTACTATTATCGGACAAATGTAATGTGGCTGAAAACTACATGTTGAGGACGTTTATATTTCCTATTTAGAATTGTCACGAAATGTGGCAGTCACGCGATTTTAGCAAATATACCTGCAGTATTGAGGTCATCTATAATTTCCAATATTGCAAGGGCATAACCAAGTTAAAAATCTAAGTTTAATTTATAATTATTTTCAACACTCTTTGTAGTTTGTGCAAAGTGCTGCGAACCTATATAGATTCTACTATATAATTGCTAAAATTACATTTGTTAGACCGTATGTTGAATAGTTTGCTGGTCAAGTACATTAAATGTAGATATAAATAATTCATTTGCAAGATTTCATCAGGTTCGCAGCACTTTTCAAATATCTTCATACCTCTCGAGTTTATGTGTAAAAATTTGTCGTAATTCATTAAGGGTATGCCCTTGCAATATATCGATTTATTACGACCCTTCTATTACCCTTCAATGAATCTGCATACAAATGTACGGCAGTTTCACTTGTCTAGGGAATGTACGGGAAGTATATGAATAAAATCATAAAATAGACATCGCATCCAAGTTAATGACCTCTTATATATCTGAAAATAATATTTTATTTAATTACAAATCACATTTTTCATTGTATAAAAAATAACTTGATCCGCCTCTCACTGCATACAAACTGCGTCAAATTTTACGATATGACGACACATTGACAATTGCATTGCGATCAGTGAATTGTTTATATATTGCTGTGTGGGATTTAACCAACGACAAAAATACATGCAATAGTAAGTATTGATGTAGTTTAAAGCTACCCAACAGTTTAAAATATCGTATCATTTCATTTTATGGTAAATTGAAGGACATGTATTTTTGTGTGATGTCATAGTAAGCATTTCCCGCAAAAATTAGGCCCCGCCTCTTTATTGCAGCCTTAACTGTGCTGCGTTCGTAAAATTCATTGCTTTGCGCTTTCCGGTACTTTCAATAGTTCGATTTATCTAACGTGTGCAATTTACATAATGCTTCTTTATTTCAGAACACGAGCACGCTTATTTTACCTTATATTTAAGATGCAGCACAAGCCTACCATGTACGTTAAGGACAATCTTGTGCGATCTTGCAGCGCATCATCAGTTCTTCATAATTTTTTCCCTTGTTGTTTGTTTTTGATTTTTAAAGATTTATTTAAGAGGTGCTCTAACTTCCATTTACATGTATATGAGTCGCGTCACTTTTTATTCAACCACTGAAAAATACTTTCATTCTTTCGTTAAGTGTTTCCTGCTTTGCAATGTGCCCCCTTTTAAATACATCTCTTTCTTCCTTGTACTTAAGTAATGTTAAAAAATAATAGTATACTAAATGTTATGACAAAAAATAAAATAAAAATAACAGTCAAGTTCTTTTAAACAATGTTTCTATTTTTAACCAAGGGAAACTTAGAAAATAGACTTGTTTAAATTGTGCTTATATATAAATTTTAGATTCAAATCTGTGCAATTCAAATATCGAAAATATATACGTAGTTTGTGTTTTGCTTTGTTGTCCTTTTATTTTATGACTTGCAATATCACTCCTCCTTGTGATTCAGCCACTTGATGACATTTGACCTCCTAAAATATATATATATATATATATATATATATATATATATATATATATATATATATATATATATATATATATATATATATATATATATATATATATATATATATATATATATATATATATATATATATATATATATATATATATATTAGGGGTGGGTTTTTTAGCCTCTATTACATAGATTGGACTTTAGGAGACTGCTCTGTTCCTGATATAAGACAGGGGATGTACATTGGTAGCCAGACCCTTAGGCACACCCTTGAAAATGTGTTTGGGATGACAGCTAGTCGGCATGAGATACAGGTGGGAACTGGTGGGTTTCGTACGGAAACTAAACTCGATTTCACCATCAATGAGGGTAGATGTTTCCTAGAATATGTTTTTGGAATTATATACATCTACAGTAAATTTGACAGACTGATGGAAGGTGTTGGCAAAGGAAATGAATGCTTCAAGGCTCTCGCAGCATTCCACTCACTTCATCTCTATATCATCAATGAAACGCAACCAGCTAAGGGACCTAAATGGTGCTTGAAGTATGAAGTTGCGTTCAAGTCTGCCCATTAAAATATTGACGTAAGATGGGGCAATTTTCGTACCCATAGCAGTGCCATTAACCTGCAGGTAATTTTCTCCAGCAAACATGAAATTGTTACACTTGAGAATATGTTCAAGATGCTTGGCAAGGGACTCAGAAGGAGTTTGTATTGATCTTCTATCCCAGACTTCTCTACAGGCCTCGATACCCTCATCGTGCGGAATGTTGGTGTACAAAGATGTAACGTCCATAGTCACTTGAAGGGTATGATCTGGATGACCAGTAGAGGGCGTTTTGTTAATATAGTCTGTGGCGTCCTTCAGATAGGATGGCGAATTCTCTACATGTGGAGGGAGATGCAAAAATTGTCCTGCTCTACAGTCAACAGGATTGAGTGTCTCATAGACGTTTAAACCAATCACGTTAGTCGCCCGCGTGGAGCAGTGGTTAGAGCGTCTGCTCTAGAGTTGCGGCGTTAGGAGTTGATCCTTACGTCGCGGGTTCGAATCCCACTGTGGGAGGTGGAGACCGGTCCTTCGGATGAGACCGCATAAACCGAGGTCCCGTGTCGCAGTAGGTGCTGGCACGAAAAAGATCCCTCACTGCTCAATGGCCCTAAGTGCCGAGTATAGGACAAAATTTGCAGCTCTCCACCGGCAAGTGGTGGCGTCTCCATATGAGTGAAAATTCTCGAGAGGGACGTTAAACAACATACAAACAAAACAAACAAAACCAATCACATTATTTTCAAACATTTCGTCGAAAGTTTTGGTGATAGCGGTGGAGAACTCTTTAGTAGGACCAGAGTCCAGTTTCTTATAGAAACGTTCGTCTGAGAGTAGTCTATGGGCCTTGTCAAGTACTACTACTGTACAGCCTTTCTCTGATTTCTTAATCACGATGTCATCTCTATTTTTTTAATAATTGTAAGGCAGATCTCTCATCCTTACTTAAGTTTTCGGGGGCCTTGTCTGGCATGGAAAGGAGTTTCTCAATGTCTGACAACGGCGTCAATGTACGACGCAAAGGCTCTGCATAAGCCCGTTGCAGGTTCCCAGTTGCTTTTGGGCCGATAGAGTTTGTGTTTCTCTAGGTTGTGCACTTGTGGCTGGGAAGAGAACTGGTCTCAGAAAAATACATTGATATTTTCAATCAGGAACTCAAGTATTCTATAATTCAATCTTTGGAGTCCTTGTTTGTAGATAAAGAATTTTAACAAGAAGTGTTTGTGAAACACTGATGCCCCCGTATGGCAGCTTATGGCGAAGGTTAAAGTTTCTCAAATGCAAGTCAAACTTCAGGTCAAAAGATCAAAAAAGTTGGTATCCAAAGAAAGGTCTTGTCTCAAGAAATAGGCTATACCTGTGAAATATGAAAGCCCTTAAGCCAACCACTGAAAAATTATGGCGAAGGTTAAAGTTTTTTAAAAGTAAATAAAGCGTCAAAGGTCAAGGTGAAATTGTGCCCAAAGGAAGGTCTTGTCACAAGTGATAAACATGTTCATTAAATGTGAAAACCCTAGATGTGAAAGCCCTATAGAACCAATCGCTCAAATGTTATGGCCAAGGTTAATCTTTTTTTGAAAGTAGGTCAAACTCCCAAGTCAAGATCAATGCAAAAAATGGAAGGTCTTGTCACAAGGATTATACATGCGAAGGATGAAAATCATAGCACCGATGGTTCAAAAGTTATAGCCAAGGTTATAGTTTTTCAAAAGAAGGTCAAATCCAAGGTCAAGGTCAAAGAGTCAAAGTTGTTGGTATCTGAAGGAAGAATATGTCACAAGGAATTCACATCTGAAGTATGAATGCCCTAACTCTAACTGTTATGGTCAGGGTTTAAGTTTTTCAAAAGTAAGTCAAACTCCAGGGTCGAGGTCATAGGGTCAAAGATGTTGGTATCCAAGGAAGGTCTTGTCACAAGGAATACTCATGTGAAGGATGAAAGCTCTACCATCCACTGTTCAAAAGTTATGGCTAAGTTTAATTTTTTTTTTCAAAAGTAGGTCAAACTCCAAGGTCAAAGGGTCAAAGTTGCTG